TTAACGCTTGGTATTCCCAACCCTAGGGCCACATACATCAATCTGAGCATCACTGTTTGAAGGGCAACGAACAGAAGGAATAAAATCATACCATTACAAATTATATATGTGTTCAAACCCCTCTAGAGATTTTATCTTGAGGCATGAATCCTATCTTCAATATATCTTATCTAATTTGAATTCATGTGTTTATTTGCTATCAGTATATTTTTTTATCACACAATTATTGTAATTTTATATATTTTGTTACTGACAGTGTCAGTGTTATTGACACAATTAAAGTAAATTTTCTATATTTTTAATAACCCAATTAGTGCAAAGACTGTCACGAGGGCTGAGTGCTGACTCCAATACGCTTCCGCTTCCTGTGGTTAGCTATCATAACCGATGTTGACAACTTCTCAGATTCCCTGTTTTCCCATTTTTGAAAATCGTGCAGCCCTTGCTGTCCAGCGGCTAACAGCTGCCGTTCTTGTTCACCTGTCAGGTCAGTGTGGAGTGCATTCTGTGAAACGTCCATTTTACGTCGAAATCTGGAAAATTTTGGACTGAGAAGCAACATAACAATATCAATTTTATCGATGGTTGAAACCAAAGAACCCTGGCTCCTTTGTTTCCGTCGGGCATCAGCTTAAATATAGATTTATTTTACTTTCTTCAAATAATAGACTTTCTAGGTAGCATTCCTACTATGCACAAAAAAAAACAAAACAAAAACCAAAAAACATACATTTCACTAACAGCCATTCAAATAATGTTTTTATTTTCATTTCTTTTCTCCTTCAACTAAAGCTACCGCAGTATTAAAATAGTTCGTGATTTCTGAAATTGCATATATGGGTTCTACAGCTTTGTGGTAATGTGTTAAGTAACATGTGGACAATGCCTGAGTCTAAAGGAATTGAATGTCTATCCTACCCCTGAGTTGTGGAAGTCAAACTGCACCCCTCCCCCTTCCCCACACCCGACCATGGTCATTTCTGCATGATATTGGCGTGGTATTTCATTCGAAAATCGACTATGAAAATTAGTGATACAAAAATGTACAGGTAAAAAGTTTTTTTAAGGAAATTATGACATTCAATAAAACAAATTATAACAAACTATTACATTTCAAGAAGATCTCAAACATTTTTTCACACTTTTTCAGCACTTCCAAATATCAGACCTAGTGATTGTTCAATAATTAATTCAAACTAGACCTATAACTATTTTAACAAATATATGTATAGTTTAATTTTAAGTTCAGCATTTGATGGGTTGCTCGACAGCATTGCGGTCAAAATTGTGTCGCTTCCAAACTTTTGAATTGGAGTTCTAAGTCCAGCTAATCCTACTTTATAAACCCCGACCTTTCCAATATTAATATTGGAAAGGTCGGGGTTTATAAAGTAGGATTAGCTGGACTTAGAACTCCAATTCAAAAGTTTGGAAGCGACACAATTTTGACCGCAATGCTGTCGAGCAACCCATCAAATGCTGAACTTAAAATTAAACTATACATATATTTGTTAAAATAGTTATAGGTCTAGTTTGAATTAATTATTGAACAATCACTAGGTCTGATATTTGGAAGTGCTGAAAAAGTGTGAAAAAATGTTTGAGATCTTCTTGAAATGTAATAGTTTGTTATAATTTGTTTTATTGAATGTCATAATTTCCTTAAAAAAACTTTTTACCTGTACATTTTTGTATCACTAATTTTCATAGTCGATTTTCGAATGAAATACCACGCCAATATCATGCAGAAATGACCATGGTCGGGTGTGGGGAAGGGGGAGGGGTGCAGTTTGACTTCCACAACTCAGGGGTAGGATAGACATTCAATTCCTTTAGACTCAGGCATTGTCCACATGTTACTTAACACATTACCACAAAGCTGTAGAACCCATATATGCAATTTCAGAAATCACGAACTATTTTAATACTGCGGTAGCTTTAGTTGAAGGAGAAAAGAAATGAAAATAAAAACATTATTTGAATGGCTGTTAGTGAAATGTATGTTTTTTGGTTTTTGTTTTGTTTTTTTTTGTGCATAGTAGGAATGCTACCTAGAAAGTCTATTATTTGAAGAAAGTAAAATAAATCTATATTTAAGCTGATGCCCGACGGAAACAAAGGAGCCAGGGTTCTTTGGTTTCAACCATCGATAAAATTGATATTGTTATGTTGCTTCTCAGTCCAAAATTTTCCAGATTTCGACGTAAAATGGACGTTTCACAGAATGCACTCCACACTGACCTGACAGGTGAACAAGAACGGCAGCTGTTAGCCGCTGGACAGCAAGGGCTGCACGATTTTCAAAAATGGGAAAACAGGGAATCTGAGAAGTTGTCAACATCGGTTATGATAGCTAACCACAGGAAGCGGAAGCGTATTGGAGTCAGCACTCAGCCCTCGTGACAGTCTTTGCACTAATTGGGTTATTAAAAATATAGAAAATTTACTTTAATTGTGTCAATAACACTGACACTGTCAGTAACAAAATATATAAAATTACAATAATTGTGTGATAAAAAAATATACTGATAGCAAATAAACACATGAATTCAAATTAGATAAGATATATTGAAGATAGGATTCATGCCTCAAGATAAAATCTCTAGAGGGGTTTGAACACATATATAATTTGTAATGGTATGATTTTATTCCTTCTGTTCGTTGCCCTTCAAACAGTGATGCTCAGATTGATGTATGTGGCCCTAGGGTTGGGAATACCAAGCGTTAAATGTTTTAGAGTATGCTCCACTTGTTTTTTCTTCATGTCTTACATCAGTCGTCTATGTTAATGTTACATAGTTTTGGAAATATATGCTTAACCTGTTGTTGCCCCCTGTACGACTACACCCCCACTCCTTCCGCCCCATCCCCCTTCTCTCCCTCTTTCTCCCCCCACCCCCACCACCCCAATTTAAATCAGCGTAGAAGTGTTATAGCTTCAATTTAGATATCCATGATAAGTGAAGGATATTTTTCACTGGGATGAAAGCTTAGGGGAATCCCTTCATGACGTGTGTTTTGTAAACCGTTACGGCTGACCGGTGTTGGCGTGATTGGCTTTTTTTAAATTCACCTTACCTGTTGCTTACCTTTATGTGCTACCACAAAGGCAGGATGACCTTCACTCCACAGGAAGAAATAAGAGAGAATTTGTATACACGTCTGCGAATTCCCCACTGACTTTTCTTATCCTGGTTCAGCTCTAGACAACCTGGGACTTCAGATGTTGGTGTGGACAGAGAGCTGAGGGATCATTCCGAGTGGCACTAACGAATAGCGAGTCTACCAAGAGCATCATCACCATATACATCAAATAAGTGTCTTTATATTTTTTTCAACTTAAATAGGTCACAACACGCTGTGCTGCACTAGCGACGGGTAAGCTCACTGTTGTCCTTTAAACTGTGCCACACGTTAGCTTTAACGCCCATGTAGACCCATATGAACTTGGCTGGAGAAGTGAACACACCAGCTGGTCACTTGGTTCATTTGGCATATCTTACTCGCTCAGATTTTTAAGACATCAGCTTTTCGGTTACCAAACCCATCTTTCCGAGAGGTCTAGTCGGCTGATTCGACTTGGATAAACTGTACGAAGGTGATACTGGATGAATGAACGGTCACTGGCGTTAGTGTATTAATTTGTATAACCAAGGTTAGTCAAAAAAACTAATTTTATTAGGCAGATCCCACCTAGGGTGTCACCACGGCAGCTCAACTGTATAATATAAACTATATGAAACTTGGGATGTCCCCAAATAAAAGACTACTGTCACGGGAGTTACGAAATTAGATGTTTGAAATACATATAAATGTTTCATTGACATCAATTTCAATTACATTTAACTAATAAATAGAAGACCTAACTATTAAATAAAATATTATTTTTTCCCTTGATGTTAAACATCAATGCAAATAAAATATTGATCACTTTGAAAGGGGTTAGAAGGGCGATAACTGGAAAACTTCATCTGCTACGTGATTTTACTTAGTATATTTTTAATGAATACAGTTCAAACAGTTACAATCAGATGAGTACCTAGGGGTACAAATGGCAAGTACCGTCAGGGGGGGGGGGCAATTAAAGGCCTCAAAATTGGCCAGCTGGGCAGATTTCTTTGATGCTTAGACAAAAGTTTCTGCTTAAAATAATATAACTAATATATCCATTACTTCCCTGATTGTCTTGATTTTTGTTGTTGTTGTTTTAAATCACAATTGTAGGGAATAGGTAGTCGAGGCTGGTAGAGGCACAATTTTAAATTCGTGCCTTTGCCGTGATATGCAATCGGTACGTCTTTGTGTAGCCCTTTTTTACCTTTTTTCGAATGGTTTGATAACCTTCAGTGGTCATCGCAGCGTACCGGTCCATTATTCTTGATCTTTTCAACGGTCACCTGTCTCTTGAGCGTAGTGTTAAATGCGTCAGTCCCGATTGCACACATATTGGACGTCAACAAGTAATATTTCTTTATTATAAATGTGTTCCTGGGGGGCGCCAAAGTTAATATCTTGCTCTGGGCGCAATATTTGCATGGTATAAGCACAGAGGCGCAGCGAGAGTTTTTGGCGCCCGGGGACAAGATAAATTTTGAAGCGCCCCCTTTTATTTTTTCAACTCTCAAACCCAATATTTTCATCAATAAAATAATATCCAAGCACATTTTGGCGCTCCTAACTAGCTGGCGACCGGGGACATATGTCCCCCCTGCCCCCCTTCGCTACGCCTCTCCAGAGGCATATCTGTTTGGCACCGGGGAAAGATTCTTTTTTACGCCCCCCTCCAATCTGAAACCCATTATTTTCTTCAATAAAATACCACCAAAGGACAATTTAGCGCACACTAATCTGGTGCCCGGGGACATCTGTCCTCTCTGCCCCCCTTAGCTATGCATCTGTCCCTGGTGCTGTGTAGTTTCAAGGTAAAACAAGTAAATCTTGAAACCTAAGACCACACCATCTCTTAACTACTTTCAATTTCCCATATTAATTTTTTTCAAGCACAACATGCTGCACCACATCCTTCTTCTGGTGCTGACCTTTGGTCAAGGTCTGACCACTGAACCAGGTGCTGTGATGAGACTCACAAAGAAAGGTTTGGATTACGGTAAGTAAAGCTTTATGCTTCTATTCACTGTGATCATTCAACATCTTAGACATTCGTACAGCAACTGTCTCGCATACAATTCTATACCACATGACATTCACACAATATCTACATGACGTTCACAAAAGAACTATACGACATTCATACAAATGCCTCATGACATCAACACAACAACCACGTGACATTCACAAAAGAACTATGCGACATTCATACACATGCCACATGACATTAACACAATAACTACATGACGTTCACAAAAGAACTATATGACATTCATACAAATGCCACATGACATTCACACAACTGCTAGATGCCGCTCATACAGCTCATAATCGGGTGATATTGTTTCCCCCACCAACAGCCAACACGGTTGCACACGACGCCATCGCCCAGGCGCTACCAACTCTGAAGATTGCGGACTTAAAGGGATCTTCTGGAATATTAAGCTATCGTCTGACCAAGTAATACTCTCACCATCCCATTAAGCAAACACCGTTATCATTAAGCTATCGTCTGACCAAGTAATACTCTCACCATCCCATTAAGCAAACACCGTCATCATTAAGCTACGTATGTGACCTATATAAAGAGAAGTTGGGAGAATGGCCAATCAAAGTACAAGCTGTTCTCTGGGCAAAGTCTGAACATGTCCGCTCCCCCCCCCCCCCAAATCTTTTTTTTTATTAAAAATATATTGGTATTTATATATGAATAATTAACAATTTTGGCGCCACCTTGCTAATATTGCGCCCGGGTCAACGTCCGCCTATTTACATTCCTTTCGCCCTGGCTGGAGAGATAGGGCACTATGTGAAGACTGAATTCAAGTTTTTTAAAAAAAATATGCCTGCAATTTCTCAGATCTATCACTCCATATTGACTAAAAACACACAATTAAAATGTATAATAGTGTAATAATTTACAAAGTCCAGAAGTAAAAGTAAATATTAATACATTTATGACAATACAATTTTTTTTCATATTTCCTAAATATTGTTTCATCCCACCTTCTAAATATTGTTTCATCCCACCTTCTAAATATTGTTTCATCCCACCTTCTAAATATTGTTTTACTCCACCTTCCAAACCCAAGCATTATAAACAAGGGTGACAACCCCCCTACCAGCACAATGACCTTCAACTCCGGACTTGATGGACTGACGTGGAAGCTGGACGACTTTGGACTTAAACTCTACGCCGATTGGTCAGCTAAGGCCGATATGGGATTGTAAGTAAATGCTGATTGGCCGGCTAAGGCCGATATGGGACTGTAAGTAAATGTGGATTGTTTAGCTAAAGCTGATTCGGAATTATCTGTCTATTACGATTGGCCACGACAATGTATCTAAATTATACAAACATGACGATGATATTGGTAATAGTAATTTAAAATACATGACCAGCAGGCACGTGTACGGTTCCATACACATGTGAAATGGCATCATCCCCAGGTTCTCCATCTCGGACAGCGGATCAGTGGACATTGGCCTGTCTCAAGTCAGCGTGACTGTTACCGTCGGCTTGGGTCAGTCAAGTGGATCTATTTTTGTTTACGTCTGTTCAAGGGGGGCTATGCAATGGGGCACAAGTCAGTGGGGCATAAGACAAGGGACAGAGACAATGGGGCATAAGGCAATGGGGCATACGACAATGGGGCATAAGACAATTGGGAATAAGACAATGGGGAATAAGACAATGGAAAGAACAGGATGGGGCTTAAGACAATGGACAGAAGACTATGGGCCATAAGACAATGGGGCATAAGAAAATAGCGTTATTTATTGATATGTCCTGGGTTTAGTCACAGAGTCATAAAAAAAAGCTGGCAGATCGAACCCTATCACATTAACTTTAGTTTTTTCCTCTTCAAATCTTGTATTGCAGTTGGTCAAATGCCGCCCCTCAATATACAAAAAAGTGCCACCTTCCAAAACCCCTTCCTATGTCACTGATGACGACACATTTCAAGCATTTATAGATCTCTTTTATAGAGCTTTGACAAAAAGTCTATAACAAATATTATTTCCCTTTATTTTCCTAGCTTTATAACATTTCCCTTTATTTTGTTATAAAAGTTAGTTATTTATTATTTCCCTTTATTGTGCTAGTTATTTATTATTTCCCTTTATTGTGCTAGTTATTTATTGTTTCCCTTTATTGTGCTAGTTATTTATTGTTTCCTTTATCGCGCTAGTTATTTATTATTTCCCTTTATTGTGCTAGTTATTTATCATTTCCCTTTATTGCGTTAGTTATATCATATTTCCTTTTATTGAGCTATGTAAAAAATGTGTTTTCTTTATTGAACCTGTTATATATTATTTTTCTTTCTTAAATTAGTTATGCAGCCAGTGCTCGACTTACGACCTATGCAACTTACGACCATTCGACTTTACGACCACAAATCACTGGCCATATTAGATTTCAGATTTATCTCTGCCTTAATGATCAGTCAAACGTCGTGTCTGCAATCATCATCAGCCATCGTTAACTAAGGAAAGGGGAGGGGCATGGTGCCATGATGGTGCTATGCTGCTGGCCGGCGTCATCAATTTCTAAGAAATACCACGGTCACACTCTATAACCCTAGGTCCATTGACTTCCCCAAGAGCGGCTAAAGCTTGTTGATTGGAGAGCTCTTCAGAGTTTGAAACTTTGAAATCCCATCTCCCATCGAAGATTATGATTTATAACAATAATAAAAGAAATTTATGATATAATTATTATAATTAAAATTTCATATTTTTATAACATCACTTCACATTACTGAACACATAGCGTACTCAACATACGACCAAATCTGAACACATAGCGTACTCAACATACGACCAAATCTGAACACATAGCGTACTCAACATACGACCAAATCGTGTTACGACAGGTCTGTCAGAACCGACCGTGGTCGTAAGTCGAGCACTGGCTGTGTATTATTTCCGTTTATTGATTTTGTTATACAACACTATCTCCAAGTATTCAGTTTTGGGTAAATGCAGAGAATGGAAGCCACATTTTTCTCCATGGCCGCCATCTTGGTTGACACAACCAGTTAATTATGGCACTAGACCGAACTAAATGTATCCCTAACTGAAACATAAATGTATCCCTAAACCTAACCGTAACCCTAATTCACGGCAACTTTAATAAACACGGAAATGACGTCATGGCATCCCTTCTTTGCATTGACCCAATTTTGTTATACAAGCGTAACTTCCTAAATGATAGCATTACTTCCCTTGATTTGATCCACCCAGGGGTCGACCAAGCCAACCGCCCGCTGTTAAAAGCACTCAACTGTAACTCTCACATCGGAGGGGTCAGTCTCGACTTCCACGGTGGCAGTGCCTGGTTCTGGAACCTCCTCAGCGGAGTCCTGGACGGTGTCGTCAAAGATAATGTTAATGTAGGTCAAGGTCTTGGCCCGTCACGTGATCATTATTTGATGACCGTAGTGGTCAGGTTTTAGTCGTAATCCTTGTTTGTTGTTGTTTTTTTATTTACTACACGAAAGTTTCTATCTACTAAGACGACGATAATGACCAATAAATTCTGATGTTTCCTTCGCAGCTTTGCGATATGGTCGACGATCTGATCAATAAGGACGCCGAGGCGCAGTTAGCTCAGATGAAAGGTGAGATGTGGTACTATTGGATCATGTTAAGTGGCGATGTTTAGCCACACGTGGGTAGTTGTGATAGGAGTGGGTGAATTTGTGGATAATCGACCACATGTCGGGGGTGTTTTAAACATGTTTAAAAGTTTTACGTAGTGACTTTAGGACACACATAGGAAGTGAGACATTTGGGACGGTTAAAACATAGGCCACATATGGGTCACAAATGAAATTCGATTTTGTTCAAAATAGAAGTTTGAAATTGTTGACATTTTGATATATGATGTCATTTTTTTTACATTTTTTTCATGATAATTTCTCGTCTCATTTATGATCCAATTCGTCCAGTTACCATTGAAATTGCTGACCGTTTCCTGTTAGACTATGGGCTGCTGGCACCGGTCACATTCACACAAGATTACATGGAGAGCTTCCATCGGGTAATTCTACTGACCTGTTGGGGAAGTTTTTCCTTTTCCCAGATATATACCAACATTTGTTTGGGAGAAATCCCAATATATATTCATCAATCATTGGCTTAGCAAGATATATACTAGCCAATATACCCGGCGTTGCAAGGGATTGCATTAGGACCTAATCCTTGTGTAAACCCGATCCCATTGGAACCCTAATCCCATTCTGACACCGATCCCGGCGCAGTCCCGTTTTCCGGTGTGATTATACAATTTAATTGAACTACTATAGCCATAGTACACTTAAAATGAAATGGGGCCCCAGCGGGGGTCCCATTTCATAAAGCCTTCTTTAAGTTATATCTGAGATGGGGTGGGGGCCCTATAAAAATCATTCCGATAAATTATAGAGTTTAATTTAAAATGTGTCCCATTTAAATCGGTTTTAAAATACGATAGTTATAGCTTTTTTTTAATATTGGAACTTTCTAGAAAATTCTAGATCGGCTTTGAAGGCATTGGATATTATTAGTTTTAAATCCACCCATATTTCAATACGGAGAACGAAGTGTATTGCTACCACGTGTGGTGATCTGACTTATGACTTATTAGAGAGGAGTGTCCCTCGTATGAGATCTCCTCTTGGCACTCTGTCTAGGGATATGTTATTTAAGCCGAATAACCACACGGACATAACACCTATCTATATACATATAGTATAGACTGAAACGAAGTCCTAGTTAAAGGTGAAATTAACTACAAATATTTATTACACAATAATATTTACAACTTCCTACGTGAAACACTCG